CCACCCAGGCCTGTCACACGGCCACCCACGTCTGCCACACGACCACCCAGGCCTGTCACACGGCCACCCAGGCCTGTCACACAGCTAGTCAGGTGTGCTGAGGAGAACCATGCTCAGGCCGAGGCGAATGTTAAGGGCTCTAGAGGGGCTGAGTATGCGGCAGTAGACAGGCCTTTCTCCTCAGACACCTGTGGGCGGATTGGAACCTGTAGTGTTTGGGTTGTCAGCCAGTATGTTAACCTTGTACCACTGGGGCACTCATGGCGGAGGGCACTGCTGTAAGTGGGGTTGACGAGAGTGCATAGCAGGTGAGCAGAGCCCAGGCAGTCCACAAGCAGCGGGGAACACAAAGCCTGAAGCAGCCAGGTTCCAGGGAGCCCCTGGGCCCAGGGCTGGAATGTGAGAACGGCAAGGAGGCAGAACCCCGAAGCCAGGCAGCAGTGCGTGGTCTGGGGTCATCGCCGGGTCCCTGGGTGCCTGGCCCTGTCCTTGACCAAATGGCTCAGGCTTTTCTGGAGACGGCTCAGCCGGCGCTGCGGGCGCTGGACGGGCTGCAGCGCGAGGCCACTGAGGAGCTGGGCAAGGCGCTGGCCTTCTTCGGGGAGGACTCCAAGGCCACCACATCCGAGGCTTTCTTCGGCATCTTCTCAGAGTTCATGAGCAAGTTTGAGGTCAGTCCCTGATGATGCTTAAAGGGTTGCTGAGAGCAGATGGGGTGGGGACAAATGAGGGGTCCTGCTCTAGAGGGAGAGAAGGAGGGGTGGGAGTACCGAGGTTCACTCCCTCCCCGTCTTCCTCCCCAGCGAGCGCTCTGTGAACTGCAGACCGGCGAGGGCTCCCGCAGCTCCGGGATGGTGTCACCCCTGGCCTGGTGAGGCTGGCGAGCAGTGTGGATGGAGATGGGATGGGACAAGACACGCAGAGACCATGTGGCTGCACAGGCCACAGTCCCACCCAGGAACCTGAGCACAGACAGGGTGTGAGCGGGGCTGCCCGTCTCCTCTACCTCAGGGGACAAGCCTGGCCGGGTCCCCCCTGTGGACTCCTGCTCCTGTCGCCTGGCTGATCGAGGGGCCTGGTCCCCTTGGTACCTGCGGGTCGCGTCCTCCATTGGCACTGGTTTCACCCCAGGTCCGAGTGTGCCCCTTCCCTCCCTCGCCCTCGGCACTTTCCAATAAAGTGCTGCCTGTGCCCTGTGGATGACGGTGTCCCGGGGGAGGCTCCACACAGCACTGGTTCCTGCAGAAACCTGCTTGGCAGGGGCCATCCTGCGGGCACAATCCTGGTGGAGGGAGCCACCTGGAGGGCCAAGCACCCAGGGGCAAGCCAGCCTGGGGGCCCTTCCCAACCTGGAAGGGGCCTGCGGATGAGAGGGCAGCCCCAGTGTCCCAAGGCGGCCTGAGGCCTGGGATGTGGATGCAGCCACATCTGGAGGGGTTGCGTAGGAACAACAGGGAACAGGGCCTTTGGGGAGGCCTGGGTTCTGATGCCCTGTCAGGCTGTAGACCTGAGGTAGTAATTGTGACATAAACTCAAATCCAGTTTCAGGATGGTGAGACCCAGGTAAGGAGACCCCAAGAGGCCAGGTGTGCCAGGTCAAGGTAGAAACGGAGAGAATGGGGAAATGTTTAACCCAAAAAACCTGGGCCCCCAAGTCTGGAGCAGAAGTGCCCAGAAGACGCCCAGGACTATAGATGGTTAGAGAAGCGGATGTGTCACCCCATTTTCTCTTGGATCAGCCAGTGGGTTTGAACCACTGACCTTCTGTTTAGCAGCACAATACTTAATCCTCAGCACCACCAGGGCCCTGGGAGACATTTAGAGAGTCAGTAAAGAGAATTTGTGACCAAATATCAGGTTTCTCTATGGATGGGGGGGATGACTCCCTGGAACAGGTCACAAAAGCGAGGCAGGTTTGGCGTTTATGGTACATCCCAGGGCTATGTCAGGACCCCAGAGGTCATCTCGTACGTGTTGGGAAGCTCAGGTGAGGGCGAGGGTATCCCATGAGGCTAGATGTCCAATCCCGTTGCCTGCTTTTCAGGGAGGCGTCCCTTGGCAATGTCCATGTGTCTTTAGTGTCAAGGAGCTGCTTCTCCTCTCACAGGGCCATGGATCCAGAGACCCTATCTCTGACCAGCCTTCTAGGTGCCAGTGAGGTTTCCTCTCAGGTCCTCTTTGTCTCCAGGAGATAAATGATATCACAGGCATGCCGTAGGGAATCTTAGGGCGGCAGTGTGGTTATGGAGCGCTACAGCCCATCCTCAGTCCTCTCTCAACCATGTGATTGATAAGATGTGGCTCACTACACAGTTCTACATATGGCATTACCTGCATGCATTTCATCTGTGACACCAGGCCAGCTCACAGTGCAAAGACACACATTCAGGGCCAGACGGGGACCAGGTCCACTCTGCAGTTGTCATCAGAGCTTTTACCCATCTGTTAGTGGGAGCTTCAATGCTGCTCAGCTTCCAACAGCCTCTAAAGTAAGACTAGGAAGAAAGGCCTGGTGATCTGCTTCCAAACATCAGTCCATGAGAGGCCTGAGGAGCATAGTGACCCTGCCTGCATCCACGCACAGGGGTGGCAGAGGCCCAGACAGCGTCTTGTCATGTTGTACTGGGAGGCGCCACGAGTTGGGGTTGACTTGACAGTGGTCAGCCACCATCGAGGAGAAAGGAGTCCATCCAGGTGGATGTTCCGACTCCCTCTCACCCTTCAGCCCTCGCCACCCCCCTGCCTCCACCTTATCCCCTTCGATTCAGAGCTCAATTTCAACATGGAGAAACGAGCAAAGTTATCTAAGTGCTCAGGTCTTTCATTCATAGGGTCGGTGTGAGTTGTCTACGACTCAGCGGCACTTAACAACAACAATCACGAGCAAGTGGACTCTGAGTGGTGACATCAGGGACCACAGCATCTCTCCCCTGGGTCTTTGCCTTTAGCTGTGAACACCCCTCCCCACGTCCGGAAGAAGAGTCTAGGCCACCTCAGCTCTCTGCTCCCACCCTGACTGTGGGCCCTCACGCCCATATGGGGGTCATTGCTCAGAGGTGTTGGCTCGCTGTCTCCCTCTGCACCCTCAGGGTCCACTCCCCTCCAGCACACCCCTCGTGCCCTGGCCATACTCCCTGAGACAGGAAGCCTCGAGAGACTTTGTTCTTATCACCCTTAACCTTCAGGCTGCTTTGGGCACTGTTTACCCACCCTTGGTAAATGCACACACCCCCAGAGTTCAGATACCAGATGCCTGCTTGCTGATAACACCATCACCAGCTCGCTCTCCTCGGTCCAGGTGCCTCTACACATCACACACGTTAACCTGCTGCAACCCGCTGGGACTCGGGCTGGTTCCACCGGATTTCCGGGGCTGGAAGCCTTTCCAGGAGCAGCGTGTGCATCCTCCTCCCACAAACTTGACCTTCCAGGTAGCAACCTGACATCTTACACAGGACAGGGCTTCTCTGCGCATCAACTCCTTCCTGTGAAGGTGGAACTGATTCCAAGCTGACCCTTGGTTGGGTTTCTGAAACTATAAATCACATAAGAGATTGTCTGTCTGGTGGATTTGAACCTCCAGAGGGAGAACAGCTTTTGTCTTAACAGTGTAACATCCTGTGGACTCACCTAAACTTCCGTAAAATCCAAACATATACACACACTCAAATAAATTTTATATATATATATGCCAGGGATGCATCCTATCTCCATACCTTTTCAACCTATATGCAGAACAGATTAAGATTATCCGGGAGAGCCCTGGGCTCTATGAGGAGAAATGTGGGGTCAAGATTGGTGGACGATTTATCAATAATCTGCGTTATGTGGATGACACAACCCTTCTTGCTGAAACTGAAGAGGACCTGAAGCGCCTGCTGCAGAGTGTCAAGGACTGCAGCCTACAATATGGATTGAGGCTCAATGTCAAGAAGACAAAG